TATATATATGACTTCTAGAAATTCTGTGGCAATGACAAATTAGGTTTGATTTATGGTACTACTATCAAGAAACTGTAATCCTCATTTCAAATATTTCCCACCAATATGTTCGTTCTGATGGGAGAGGACATAACCCACTCTTAATAATACTAAGGGGAATACCCAAGGCTCTTGAAAAAGTGAATGAGAAAAGACTTCAAGCAAAAATCACTTCTCTCAAGGGATACTGGTTCTGTTAATGTTTTGTTTCATGATCTGGGTATTGGTTACTAAGGTGAGGTCAGTGTGTGAAATTTATTGACCTAAACCCTCAAGATCTGTGCACGTTTCCATATATATGTGATTATTCAATAAAAAATTTTTTAAAAATCAGTCAAATTTTCTGTTCTAGTAAGAAATTACCTGTTGTCATAGATCCATAACATGGCAATATTAACAAGCCATCTAGCGTGGTATCTTGAACATCGTAATCATAATCAACAGACTCTGCCATCTGAAAAAGTAACTCACAACTCTTTTCGATTTCAAACTGGCCTGAAATGGGAAGGAAAAATAACTTCAGCAACTGAATAGAACAATTAATTTAAGAATAAAAAAACTTCAGGTTAAAATTAGTTTTGCCTAATAGTTATTTTAAATCTCTTATTTGATCTAAAGAAGATGAACACATAAATTGTACTAAAGCTCAACAATAAAATTCTAAGTAGAAGAAATACCAGTTTCCAAGAAATTTAAATCTCTAAAGGAATAAAAATCTTTTTTTTTGGCAGCTAGCAGCTAGCCAGTACAGGGATTGAGCCCTGGATCTTGGTATTGGCACCATGCTCTAACCAACTGAGCTAACCAGCCAGCTCCCTAGGAATAAAACTCTTTTATCACGTTCAAGCCTTTCATCTTAACACAGTATTTGAGGAAGACTCACTAAATCCTTAACACAGGAAAGCAAGTCCAGGAGATGCTGCATTAGGTATATTTCAAAATACTTCAGTATCCTCCAAAATGCAAAGAGATTGTTACAATGTCTCACTTCTGTCACTAGTACAAAGCAGAGTAGAAAATGAGCAATGAAATGATTCATTCCTGTTAGTAGGGTGTTGCTACTTAAAAAGTTACCCTGGTCTAGGATTTAACTGTTCTATTTTTGAGCAAAAAAATGCCACAGGCTTGTCTATGATACTTGGGTTCCACACCTCATGTACTGCTATCACACAGTGCCATCCCACCATCCAAATAAGAAAGGAGCTGGTGGGATGTCTTTTAAGATGGAATTAATCATTCATACCCAGGATTGTTTAGTCAGATTACAGCTCTATATAAAACAGACCAATAAAAATAATAACTTGACCACCTAATTTCTTTCCACTAAAAGGTTAGTGTGTTTCACATATATTTACTAACGAACCTAATGTTTTATAAATCTTTTATTTGAAACTATTCACAGGTTTGGATCCCCCATACCAGCCAGCTGGCAAATAATTAAATAAATAAATAAA